AATGAATTCGAATAATGAGTCGAAACAACGTAATAATTAGAACGATCAATTATGCCTCGTGTCCATCCATCACTTCCTGTGATTTACGAGGGAAGAAAATATATAATAACCCGGATTCGATTATACGTTGAAAATTGCCACTCGTGTTTGCTTACATTGTTGAGGTTAAATATCCTCGAAAAGATTAGAAAATTCTTAGATCGAGGCGTGATTAAACGTCAACACCGTTTTTACCCAGAAAAAACGTTTGCGTTTGAGCGGTCTCCGTGAGAAAAACCATTTATCAGATTACATAAAAATGTTTTGAGAACGTTATACGAATATCGTCGAATTTTATTGACGGATTACGATGAAATATAATATTTAACTTTTCTTAATCGAGAGTAATTAACAACATAGAAATTATAACAAAAAATAAAGATAAAATAAAGTAATAAATGTAACACGTTTGCTTGATAATGACACAATTATACTTGATAAGATGAAAAGAAAATAATTGACGTAGGTAGCGCGATATCGTCCCATTATTGATTGTCAGTACGATAATGCCTAAGTGTATAATTCAAACGATGTCGATTCCATCGATTTTCCAATTTCGAATTCTCCATTCAATTTTTCAAGATTGTGAATCAAGTTTTACATATACCAGGTAATTTAATATATATATAAAAGAAGCAATATAAAAAGTTTCATAACTATTTCAAGTAACTTTGATTAACAAAATTTCCAAATTTTACAGAAAATTAATTCTTTTTCGAGAAGAAACCACAGATCTTCACGAATGATAATTCACGATCTACTAAAATCTTGAAATAGCCAACTTTTAATTTTCCAAAAATTACCAAAAATATCTCACCCAATTTCGAGAGATCGATCCAAAATTTTATTCATGAAGAATCTGCGTGCACGCAACACCGTCATCATCCTCGTCGGGAATTGTCACGAACCGATATCTGCGTTCGGACACGAGTTAATCCTTACGTTGCACCGCGGCACGTCATTGCGCGTTACTGCGCCATCACGTTACACTTGGCCGTCGTCCAAATGCACAGGGGACCGATAGGGGAAACGCCGAGGGCCAGAAAAGTTCGACTTTCCTCCCTGATTTACATCTTTCGTCCAAAGTCGATCGTGCCTCGCCCCGAGAATTCAAATTCTCGCTCATTCGTTCGTCGAGGCGCATGGATCTCCTCATTCTTCTCTTGGACCATTACTCGTCATGGTTTCAGCCTCCTCTTGCGAACGATACTTCGTTGAAATTGTTTCAACAATTCGTTTCTTTCGATTAACGTATCAATTAATTTGTCACCGATGGAACAGCTGCTGCTCGATTATTTGTGCAAAACTGGAGGAAATCAGCGCGGATCTGTTCGATCGATGTCTGGATTTATAATATAATTGCCGGCCACCTCGTTAATTTTAAATCCTCGCGAAATTTGTACAAAGAAACGTTGGATTATTGCGTAACTTGCGCGTTATCGGATTTCGTTTGTCGAATTCGATCTGCTAACGAGTCGCAATTAAATTTTACTTAAAGGGTCGTTTTTCGACCAATTCTTTTTTTTTTTTTTTTTTTTTT